TATTGTTTGCGTATTCTTTCGATCCTTTGGTCCAGCATAAGATAGCGACCAGAAATCATAACGTAGCCAAAATAAAGTGTCTCCTAAAACTAATAATGTTTAATGGTAGCTCAACGTTATTATCTGAAGCAACATTGATTGAAACCCAGATTTGTGTATGTTAAAAATAGTATTTATATGTTACTATAACTTTTACAGTTAAAGATATTTAACAAGGGATTGCGACGTTGTATTCCGCGTTGGATGGTTACTACATTTAGCCATGTAAAACAGGTTAGTTAAACCTTCAAACCTAACAGAACTGAGCGATAAATAATGAATTGTAATTAAGAAACTGTAAATATTGTACATTACTAATAACGTTGATGTAAATAGTGGCCGCTAAGAATGTACATGGTAAGAACAGCATATAGGAATACAACTGAAAAGACCAAAAGGCTGCTTCATACATTTCCAGACTTGAATTTGGCTTAAGTAAAATTTGTCTAGTAATGTATGAGCGACTGTTACATCTACACTCTATCTATTCTATCTATATATTAATTACGTAATTAAGCCGATTCTTTGCGTCAAAATTGTGGTGAGAGACTGGGAAATCGTAGAACGATTGTGGCATCTGTTGTGGCTGCCTAGAAATAATCGGACGTTTGTTTCTCCTTTGAAAATGTATTGATAATTATAATTAAAAAATAAATGATTCAGGATTTAATGGAAAACTTTTGCTTTGTTTTAATTTCAAAACATATGTTCAAGATTTATTCAATTTTTTTATATTTTATTTTACCAATTTCAATTTTAGATTAATTTATTGTGGTGTTTAATCAATTATTGTATAAAGGGATAAACCCAACGGCCACTCTTGGAAATCAACCTGGGAATAAAGATGAAATAGGTTCGTTCAGGACAGGCAATATATTTGTTCATTAATCATCAAGTAAGTACTATGACAAGTTCCAATGGGCGGAAACACATAATTTTTTAGAGGAGATTTTAACCAGGTACTCCAAAAAAGGTTCAAATAATATAGCCCAGCATGTACGGTTTTAAAGGAAGCATCCATATATAACAGTAAAACCTAGAGGTAGTTTCCGTTTCTTAAAACCAACCAAAAATATGCATGTCGAAGATTCTGATGAAAAGTAATTAATTGTTTTTTAACTGGGTAATGGAAACCTAACCAGTCGCAAAATAGTTAGGAATCAGCCGTTGAATAGACCCCTTTTTGATAGAATATTTAAAATCAATCGCACCTTTAGGAGGAATACCACCACATAATCTTACACTAGGCTAATAGTAGTTTTTATGTTGATCAGAAACAAATCTAGCGATACGTTTGGTCAATGGGATGCTTTTACTTTACACTAATTTTGTTAAACCTTTCCAAAAGGAGCATAAACGTAGAAATAATAACTTCGTAGGGATGCTAATTTAGCGGTTTTGACCAAGAACTAAGCTTATCTCAACACACCTTTATTTGCCTTTTCATTTTTTACGAAGACGATTTCCAATCTTTCAATCAGGGAAGCCTTTTTATTATCATTATCATCAAACACAAGACCAAAGCTACCTTAGTAAACCAATATTTATTCACAAACATGTTTGCTGCCTTTAGTGGTAGAGTTAAACCTCTGGAGTAATATAAATTATTTATTAAAAATAACGTCAACAAAAGCAAAGAAAGACTAATAACAAACTGTTTCTCAATGAGCTGCAGACAAGCCAAATTTTCCTGGCTTTTGTAGCAAGTTGTTTATAATAAATTGTTGTAAGATTGTATGATTTTTAAAGAAATAAAATAAATCTCTTAAACCGGTGACAAGTTGAAGGGGAGATACAACTAGCCGCAGGTACAACTAGACGTAGGTACAAGTGGGCGTAGGTACAACTAGTCGTAGGTACAAGTAGTCGTAGGTACAAGTAGTCGTAGGTACAAGTAGTCGTAGGTACAAGTAGTCGTAGGTACAAGTAGACGCAGACGTATGAGGTACAAGTAGACGGTGACGTTCCCGACTAGTTGTACCTGTAGATTTTTAAGAGGTACAACTAGACGTAGAGAAAACTAGACGTAGAGACAACTAGACGTCCGCACCATCGTCAAGTTGTCTCTACAGCTTTGGACGGGGTACAACTAGACGCCTGTCACCAAAATGCAGCAGGTACAACTAGACGCCGGTACAAGTAGACATCGCCCCGTGCTGTGGCTACCAATTTGACAACTCGAATCCGAGCCCTGGGGTACCATTCCGGTGCTATATTTGCAAGTCTACTGACTAAAGTAAGACTGTTCTTATTTATATTAGAAGTGATTAGTTACAAGAAGTAATGTACTTAGAAGGGAAGAATTTGATTTAATTAAATGTCATGTATATTACTATGAAGATCGTTGATTGCTCACCATTTAACCAATTGTAGTATAGCATATGAATATCTGAAGAAGAAAATAATATTTAATATTTAAAAAGGCTAGACAAGGGGAAAATCAAATAGTAAAGTACTGTTTGTCCCAAAATTGGCATATAATTGGGCAAAGTGATACATGGGGAACCAACACTGCTGCTATCTAAAACATCTTGTGAATTACCCTATATCATCAAGTGTTTGAACAAAAAGTGCAAATTATGCAATTAATCATTTTACCATCAAATGCAAGCACTTGGTTCAAGGCTTGCGGTACATAGTTTTAACAGCATATCTGGAAAAATGCACACTAAATATGCAAACCAACTCCAGTTCTGAATATAAGGTTTCAACTTACTACAAGATTTCCGTACGTAGAACGGGCAAACAGCTAGTCTATTTCTATAACATTAGGTTTTACGTGGGAATTCATTATTTAGACGTATTTTAAGTTTCTCCGCAACCCTTAGACATACAACAACGCTTTAATGGACTAATTGATTTTTTATATCTAAAAAATAGTTTGGAAATAAATATACTTATCGTAAGAACTTGACGTTTTAGAGGTAAAAAATTGGGTAAACACCAAGTATTACCGTATACAACCTCGTTCCAATATATTCCGATAATGATGCATTTTTACTCAAGTTATCAGGCCAACGGAAGGGATATATTTGAACGGAGGTGTTTTGGCTTCTGGGGACAACAAAACGAAAAAGGAAGTCGGCCCCGGGCCATGATCTTACCATGAGACCTATGGTAATAGCTTCGCGGGAAATTCTTTAAAAACCTGATGTCCATGTGATTTTTATGGGTAATAATAATTAACTGTTGTAGTGTACCTGTTCATGGATATACTCGTATTTTGATCAAATTTTGAAAGCTTATTTAAGTTTTATACTTAGGTTAAATCTTTTATTAAAAACACACATTCCCTGTAGTAGAAAACCAAATACTTTTAATACTTTAATGCTTTACTCTAAATGGTGACCAAAAGTTAGGTATTTTAAGCCAAGTATGAATACGCTAGTTATTGTTTAAACATCATGTGCCGGCACACCAGGCTCACGTTCGTGTATAGTTACCGATATAACATGGTAGATTCATCTGTTTGTTCTGTGTTGTTTGTCCTAGGGTGATATGACGCTGTATCACGTAGACTGACCACACGTGCTCGTGACCTTGGTCAGTAATCATAAACTATGTCACTCAACCAGATCTATTGTAGTCTTCTTTATATTGACTATAACTCAAAAACTTTTCGGATACTCGATGGAAATACGGCTTATATTTCGTATACTTACGATAACTAGGAGGGGTTGGGAATTTTGCCTCTTCTCGGTCCTAATGGATGAGAATAAACGCACATTTGGTCAATGTTATTGTATGCCTACTATAGGAAGGCTTATAATTTTCTAATTTCCTTTGCTTAAGAAGTATCCTTTCATGTTTTATTGATAATTTGAGCTATGGCTTAAGACCTGTGGAATCAGCCGATGATTAGGTGGAGGCCATGATGCATGGTACATGAGTAATTATTATAGGAGATAATTTTATGGAGAATTGAAATGAAATTGAAAATTTAAATTTACATGTGAATGTGATTGTATTTTGTGACTTGAGGGGTAGGGGTGAGTGAAAGTGAGTGTTTGGGGGTGGGGGGTGGTATTGTAAAGGAGAGAGAGATAGAGTGAAAGAGAATGTGGGGTTGGGAGTGAGAGAGAAAGAAGAGAAAGAAGAGAGTGAAAGAGAAAATGTGGGGTGGAAGTGAGAGAGATAGATAATTGGGGGGGGGGGGCGAGAGAGATAAAGAGAATGATAGAGACACATGACGATGTAAGTTTAGGGGTGAATGTTGAATGCGAATGTATTCTTGTTCTTTTCCACGATGCACGACTCTGCAGCCACCTGTGATATAAGCCGATGATAAAGTGGAGAAATGTTGTATGTTACATGGTCCACGATATACGACTCTGCAGCCACCTGAGGTATCAGCCGATGATAAGGTGGACGACATGTTGTATGGTACATGGTCCACGATGCACCACTCTGCAGCCACCTGTGGTATCAGCCGATGATAAGGTGGAGGACATGTTGTATGGTACATGGTCCACGATGCACGACTCTGCAGCCACCTGTGGTATCAGCTGATGATAAGGCGGAGGACATGTTGTATCAAGGCCACACTAAAAAAACAGGCCGTAATGCTCGCCAAGCATGACGTCACGATAGAAGACGGCTATGACGTATAAGTACTTATTTATTTATTTTCCAATGAAAGATTAAAACAAGCAGCTGATCACAAACGGCAAAATTACGTCATTGCCGTCTTCTATCGTGACGTCATGCTGGACGAGCATTACGGCCTGTTTTTTTAGTGTGGCCTTGGTTGTATGGTACATGGTCCACGCTGCACAACTCTGCAGCCACCTGTGGTATCAGCCGATGATAAGATTGCGCCTGCGCCCCCTAGGCCCGGGCCTCCCCCGGCATATCCGATCCGTGTCTCAGTGCCGCTGTGTCAAGCGCTGCGAAACCACGCTGTTCCGCGGTCTAAATATTGTCACTGTGCTGTTCTGTGCTGTGCTGTGCTGTGACATGTGTGACTAACCAAATCACAAACACCTGTTTAATTTCCCTAATATAAGGTAATTATTATATTCTTTTATAAGTATTGTTAATAATAATTAATCTACATTTTTAGAAGTAACGTAATTTTCGGTATAATTTCCAACCCTTCATAAGATAACTTTTTGTTCGAGTATTTTGTTGGACAATTTTAAAAGTTAGAGTGTAATTTTCAAAAAGGAAAATGTACCAACTTTTATAATATAGCGCACATAAAATTAACAATTAAAGCGTGTTACAATATAGACCATCCCATTAGATTTTCGTTGAATTAACACTAATTTACTTGCAGTTAAAACGTTACATAAATGCTTCTTGCAACTAAATTAATTACATACTTTTTCAGCTGTAATAAATTAATATATGATAGTTTAAATAAAAATATATACCATTTACAACCAAAGTATAAGTACTGTAGCTTTAAAATATCAAAATTTATTTATAAATAAATAAGTAGTGCGTTTTCCCCATCAATTGACTTGTGACAGCTCTTAACTGGCAAGAATGCTCAGGTGTAAGCGTGAGTAAAAAAATGAGTTGTTTGAAAACAAAGAGTTTTAACTTAGAGTCAAGAAACCCTCCTATTATACAAATCAGTCAACATCTTAGGAACGCGAAGTTACACGTGAAAAAACAAATTATGAATACAGGTAACAAATGAGAACAAACAGGCCACTTCATTAATGTATTTTACTTAATGTAAAGCATTCAATTTACTCTATCACTTTTGTCAAAATTCTTAACACTCTTAATTTCTACCCTTAATTTCAAAACAGTAATGTAATATTTTACGAAATTTTAAGCAAGCCTCGTTTTGATGCTAAATAGTAAACATAATGTATTAGTTTTTGAAGTTAGCTGAATAATTTACTATAAATTACTTCAAGTGATTTATACCAACCCCCGAATACCTGTTATGTTATTAGCCTAACCCCATCTATTTAGGAGGTCTGACTTCTCAGAGTTGGACGCTTCAACGGCCTTGACAGTGTTTCAATTCAATGGCAGTAAGCATAGTACCCTTACATGTACGCAGTTGTTACATGTTACGCAGTAAGCATAGTACCCTTACAGATTTAGTCAAATAGCTCTATTATTCATTAAAGTGAAAATATTTAGTTCAACATGATGTATGGCTTGTGGTAAAAAAATGTAACACATTCCTGCAATTTTACTGCAACTGCAATTTTACTTCAATTTTATATCCAAATTATTAATATAAAACTCTCCATGAGACTTCAGACTTTTTTGCTGTATAGTCAGTTTAACTAGTTGAATATTCACTTTTTGGCTTAGGCAGTAGTCAAAAATTCAAACTTCAGTTGTTTAAAGCTTGCAATGCAGCATCATCTGAGCTTGCAACAAGTCGAAAACATCAAAGTTTTCACACACAAAACTGTACACCACACGAGACATTTAAACACGAAACAACACGATAGTGCTCCGGTTTTGTGTGTAAAAACGTTGATGTTGATGATGTTACATTGCAACGAAACATGTCAGCTTTAAATAATTGAAGTTAGACGCAATTTTGGACTACTGACGGTAAGCCTATAAAGTCATATATACATAGCCAAGGGGATATCAAAATGAATATTAAGAATATTTAACTTATTGATGAAATAAAATAAAATTTATAAATGCCATTATTCCGCAGACAGAATTATGCTGACATGATATCATTATCTGTACAATTTGACCTTTAAAATATGAATTCGTTTTATCAACTAAAACTATTTTTTTTACTTTTCCTCTTTTTATTGACGGCGGGATTGATTAGTATCCGGGGTTTTCATTAAACATAATTAATTAATACAACATCCATCACCCTTCTAATTGGTCTAATATCAATGCAAGCTATGTGTTTGACATAAACAGGACAAATAGTCACATGAAATGGTATTACAAAGTCGAAGAACCATCATAAAGTAGTACTGTACTAGCTAAAAATAAGATTTTTTTAAATTTGTCGAGCAACACTGTTGAGTAAGATTAAAAGTATCATTAATTATACACTTAATTTAGTAAGCAATGGAGGTCATTTTTACTGTTTTAAATATTTCGTGTTTTAGCCATTAGGCCTACAATACGTTACATCGTCTATAGAAAGGAAATCGCTACCCTAACCTAATATAACCTGTCCCAGCCTGCATATACAGTCTGCAAGGAAAACAAAACTAACTGAATTTGAATGCAATATTTTGTGTCATATTGAGATAATATTATAAATTAGGTTTGGACCAAAACCAAAACACACAAGAAATATTCTATGTTATACTTGAAATGTATTTGAAATAATTCTACATAGCAAAATTTTATATCTTGTCAGAGAGGATTTTCACATTATTTGTTTAACAGACCTACAAGTCAGTCCACCTTATTTTGTTTTTAAACTTAACCCAACCCTTTGTAAATTTATTTCAAACGGCGCCACCGACAGATAAGCCTAAATTCGCAGACAGTTACATAGTTACTCTCACCGGAACACAACTTTGATCGTTCTGGGAAGGATGAGTAGTTTATGATTAGGGAAGTGCCAAGTATTCTGACGTCAGTAAAAATTATTTATAAGGTGAGTAGAAAGGCAGCAAATGACCTTGTCCTGGCAGCGCGCCCACCCCCGCACCTGACTGTACCTAGGCTGATCTAGAGGGAAGTGACTGTACTTGAGTGATAACGCGTATCAGCTGATGCGAGAAGATTCGTCTTGTTGTTTTGCAGAGGGAAATTGACAGACTTGAGTGGAACAAAGTATACGCGCCACAATATAAAGTTAGCACACCGTACCCTACTACCCCTATTCATTCAAGTTTGTGTACAGCTTATTACAATTAACATTACAAACCATTTTGAATTTTATGTCAACAAACGTAACATATCTACATCCAATAATTTAGTTTTATAAAATCACATTAAGGGAAGGTTCCTTATTGAGCTAACTTATAGTTACTTTGTTAATAATTGTATAAGTGATATTTGCTTATATTAGCGAGCCATAAAGTAATGCCATTGGTGTCACACTGAGAAGTGTTTGAGATGAATTGACAAATGTCACTTCAAGCTACATTTATATTTTATTGTTCAATCAAACTCAGATTTTTTTACTTTTAGGTCATAGTCTTACGTTTTGGTAGAGTTATTAATTCAGGTTAGGCCTATAGGAGCAAAAAGATTAAATGCCTACTGTATTTGCATACCACACAAAATTAGGATCAAATGTTTCTCATTAATAATAACAAAACTAACAATAATTACTATACAAACGTTCACAGTAGCAGGAAACCAGACCAGCGAGTCAACACAAACCGTAATGCATATCATATCGTGCACACACTCACTGACTGGGAAACCAACCATCCAAATAAAATCGTGGTTTAGTTCCTAGAAGAGTACTGTGTATGTAGTAGGTTTTAGCTTGCACTAAGGAATGCATTATTTAATTTACCAGCTCAATTAAATACAGAATTTAATTTATTCATAAACAGTATTTAATTAATAAATACGTTTTCAACAGTCCTTGTAAAAAGGAAAGGGAGCAAAGTAAGTTTAATTTAGATCCGCTTCTATTTGAAATATTACACACTACTTAGAAAACGCTCTTGAGAAGTAAGATACTTAGGGAAACGAAATCAATGGATGATACAATGCTGGGGATCTGTAAACACTTACTTTTCTGGGATGAGCATTTGTGTTTTTTAATTAGTACCAACTGTCTTTGTCAAGAGTTGATTCATAAATCCTTAAAGTGTTAACTTAATCTTTCACAGTAAAAAAGGGTTAGGGGTAAGTAGGACTGTTATTAAATTTTATGTAGTCAAACACTATTAAATATATACTCTTTTAAAGTGTAAAACTTTTCAGTACATATTTTATATGCGGCTTATGACTTAAATAATTTTAACATATTTAGTCTGGATCACGTAATTTACTAATAAAAAGGTTAAATACCTGTAGTACTGTCAGTGATCCTGGAATTTAGGTCAGCGACCCAGGTTTCGAACCTAAAGGTTCATTTTCAAGCAGGTACCATAGTTAAAACACATAATCACATTAAATAATTTAATTTACGTAAAAATTACTTTTTTTAAATTTAACTAATGAAATTTGAAAATTAAAATTTTAGATGACGTATAAAAGTATTCATAATGAATATTTTTATCGTTAATATTTGTATACAAACAACAATATGCTTAAAAATATATATACTTAAATAATTTTATTTCAAATTCAGAAATCCGTAACAACACATGCCTTAACTGATTCGATCGATGAATAAAGAGGGTGTAAATGGTTGGAAGCAAGTTATGAGGCATCAACAGGCCTGCCTTGAGACAATTAAAATCCTACCCTACCATGCATGTATTTCAGTATTTTATTTTACTTTTGAAAATGTTAATTAGTGTTACTAACACTTCTTCGTCATGGAGGAAGAAACATCGAAGTTATAGAATATTTCAAATAGTGTACAATCAAAAAATATCGGCATATTTTTTATGTTTTAAATTTTAAAAGAAGATAAATGCACATTCGTGTAATGCTGTAAACTATAAAATTTGTTTGGAACAAAAACTCTTTTTTATCGTATATTTTATCAGATTGTAATCGATAGAACTTTTATAATGGAAAAGGCTTTGAAGTTTAATCTTTTCAAAAAGAGAGAATAATTTTCAGCATTTGCCTCTAACGGATAAATAAATCGTGGTTATGAATACCATTTCTGAGAGGAGTGGGCTTAACATTCCGTTTAGAGAGGCTATTTTATAGCGGGGTTGAAAACAAATCGCATCCCAGGTTTGACACGACAGCCGCGGCCGCCATGCTACACGACCAATCCACCATATGATCTGTCACTGACCTTGTACCATGTGTTTTACATTGGCAAAAATATGTAACGTGACAATATACATTTTTTTACATACATTAGTTCCGTACTTGTGAGGAAATGTTCACTAGTTTGTAGGTTAGAATTTTCCTCCTCAAACTGTTTTCATTATTTAATTTGTATGATAACCATAATAAA